CATCCCTCACTACTTGACTTGAGAAACGGGAACACCCCTAACTAATTAGATTTATCCTAATCTCCTTTCTGCCTCGTCAATCCTCTCAGAGGCCATCTGTGGGTTTAGAGTTCAGACCCTTAAGAATTATGCTAATCAGTCTTTTTCTAATTTAAAATGTTCATCTGATGGCCACAATTTGAAATTTCTTGCTGTGACAAATGGGAACCCATTGTAAGGTTTTGTGCTAATTTTAAACACCCTCATCCTCTGAAGTGCCACATAATGGACCATTTCTAAAGAAAATAGTTAGGTGAAGAACATACAGTCTTGGAGCCAGACAGTAAGTAAGAAAACCAGAGTCAGTGTGGGGAGAATTTTATTTATTTATTTTTTTAATATGAGTAGGAAGTGGTTTGCTTTCATTTGTAGACTCAAAAGGAAGGTGTCTGAGCTATTAAATGTGGGGATGGATTGTTTATTTTGGTGGTGCAGCCACTGGCGTGTAAAATGCAGAGGAGAATGAATTCACTGAAGGTAGGTACCCAGAGGGAGGTGATTTAGGAGTAGATTTTCAGGCCCCCTGCATCCACTAGAGCCTGTGGCCTGGTCACTAGAGGCCGGCATGGAATGTTAAGCAGATTTCTGTGCAGAGAGGTCATCCCAGCATTGCAGTGGTTTGAACCTGGCAGGAGAAAGGGCACTTCCTGACACAGCGCAGTGACATTTATGGCAGAACCTAAACGCCCCCAGGCTCATAGGCTCTGGTATTAGGGGGCCCAAACAGAGGGCTCAGTGGAAAGATTGATACTACATTAATTACTTCGTTGAGTGAACAGCAGAGAGTCTTAACTGGGAATGACAGCCCAAAGGGGCACCTCCCAAACTCACCGATGCCCATGAATCTCTTGGGCATTCTTGGATCTTGGTAAAACAGTTTTTGATTCAACAGGCCCAGGATGTCTGCATTTCTAGCAAGCTCCTAGGTGACAATGACACTGGTGGTCTAGAGACCACACTTGGTGTAGCAGGAGAGGGTAAGAGGTTGGGGAACAGAAAGAACCAAGTTCAAGTCCTGGCAATACACTGGTCAGGCAGCCTTCGGCAGAGTACTTTCCTCTGTGCCTCTTTCATTCAGCTGATATTTACTGAATTTCCACCATGGAAATTGTGGAATTCCAGAAACTGTGCTCAGCGAAATAGCGGGATCAAGATAGAAACTGTCCCTGCTCCCCCGGGGTTTTTAATCTGGTGGGGCGACACATAAGAAAGAAGGTAACAAAGCAAAATGTGTAATTATCACCTCTGATCATTGCTCACAGTGATAGCAAACGTGGTTAATGTTTACTGAGAACCTAGTTCAGTACAAGGCCTTGAAGAATTTCACATACATCAACTGATCAAATCTTTGTAACTGCTCTGTAAGATAGGTCCTCCCATCCGTCTTTTCAGATGCAGACACTGAGGCACAGGCATGAAGTATCTCGCCCAACCTCAGGTCCTGGAAGATGGTGGTGACTGGATCTGGGGGGGCCAGGCAGTCCACCCCTGGAGCCAGTGCTCTTGATGACGGTCCACAAACTTTTCCTGTCAAGCGCCAGGTAGTAAATGTTTTAGGCTCTGCCAGCCAGCCGGGTTTTGTTGCTCCTACCTGGTTCTGCCCTTGGAGCACGGGAATTGTCACAGATGTTGCATGAGGAGTAAGAGCAGCTGTGCCCCGATGGAAGTGCATGTACCGGGATGGCAAGGGGCCTGATTCGACCCATCTACTCTAGTTTGCCGACACCGGATCCTGATCATCATCCTTGACGAGCTTCTCACAATCTAAAGCAGCCCCGTACAATATAAATACAATGTGAGCTACACATATAATATAAAACCTTAGAGTAGTCTTGTTTTAAAAAAAAAGAAAACATTTTAATATATTTAACCTGCAGTATACAAAATATTATTTCCACAGGTAGCCAGTATAAAATAATTACTGAGATGATTCAGATTCTTTTTTGCACTTTTTTAAAAGATTTTATTTATTTATTTGAAAGTGAGAGAGCGAGAGAGAGAGAGAGAGCACAAGCAGGGGGAAGGGCAGAGGGGGAGGGAGAAGCAGGCTCCCCGTGGAGCAGGGAGCCCGATGTGGCGCTCAGTCCCAGGACCCTGGGATCATGACGTGAGCAGAAGGCAGAAGCCTAACTAACTGAGCCACCCAGGAGCCCTGCACTAAGTCTTCTAAAGCTGGTATGTATTTTACATGTGTAATGGATCTCAGCTCAGACTAGCCATGTTTCAAGTGCCACCTGGGGCTAGTGGCTACTGTGCTGGACAAGTAGCAGTAAAGTGCTGAAGACTCATCCAGGCTGGAGCCTAAGATTCTGTTTTTATAAGAGCCCCCAGTGATATTGGTCAGCAGTCCATTCTTGGGGTAGGAAGGCCGCAGATTGCCACCATCTGAAGGAAACACACTGGGATGGACCTGAGGGGGCAGGTGATAACATGGGAGGCCCCAAAGGCTCTTTAACGAGATTACATTCATGTTGAAACCCAGAGGATGAGCAGGACAGAGAAGAACGCTGGGGGAAGATGCTCTACTCATGTTCTAGATGTTTTAGATTAAGTACACTAAGGCATGCAGGCACTGAGCGTCGAGCTCGGTATGGTGTCTTGGGTTTTTGTTCTAATGTAAAGGCAGGCAGATATACAGCCTTTGGGAGCCCCTGCGTGTCACACTTCCCCCAGCCAGCTTCAGTCCCCCTTCGATGCTCCCACAGTGTGATGAGATTTCCCTCATCACAGCACTTTCCATGTTTTCTGTAGGTGCCGGATTGTTTTCCAGGTGGCCCACTAGGGTTGAGAGGGCAGGCATGGGGCTTGGCCACTGCCAAGGGTTAGAGGGCAGGCTTAGGGTTGGCCACTGCTCTGGCTGTTTTCTGGGTGGCCCACCAGGGTTAGAGGGCAGGCTTGGGGCTTGGCCACTGCTCTGTCCCCAGCCTTTACATCAGCTGTGGCCATTTGATTGCTTGACAGTGAAGATTGGGCTTTGCAGAATATTTGGAAATCCATCCAAAGTTGATCTGGGCGTGCACTCCTTGGGAACTTTCCAGGTGATACGTCTCTGACTAAAGATCAGAGGAGGGAAGTCAGACATTGACTTTCCTTGTCTAAGACAGGAAAGCAAGGACTTTGCGTGGTGTGGCATGTGCTCAGAGGGCACAGCAGCTGAGTCACAAGCTGAGTGGCCTGCAGGTGTGTTCACGGGGGTCGGCACAGTCAGTCCGTGTGAATCTGACAGATTTTAGAAGGGGCCTTGGCTCTCCACTCCCTGGTCTCCAACCCCAGGGTCCAACATGAGGCTGCTGCCTGAAATCACTGTTCTGAGTGCTGGGGGAGCCTAAGATTTTCTCTCACAGAAGAGCAACCTCACAGCTCAGGCTGGTTCTACCAGCGGAGCTCAGGTCTGTTAATGTGGTGTGATATGCCAACGGGTCGTGGTCCTAACACTGAGCTCTTCTGGTGGTCTGTCGAGCCTCCCGAAATCCACCCACCCCAGCTCTGCTATGTTAATAGAGGACCATCTCGCCTTATTGTGGTAACAGCTTCAGACACGTGTATGGCATTGCCTAGTCTGGAGAGAGACATGACGCACAGTGGTCAGGAGGGCTGGTGCGGGCCCAGCTGCCTGTGTTAGCATCCCAGCCCTGTGCCTGCTTATGCCAGTTCCCAGATCTCTCTGGGCTCTGCTTCCTCCTGCGTTCATTGGGCATATGTAGTGCCACCCTACTGGGATAGTTGTGAGGATTAATGAAGACAGGTAAAGTGCATGAAACAGGGTCTGTAAGCAATAGGCGCTCACTGTTACTATCAGAAATTGCTTTCACTTGTATTATTGCACATGTTCCTTCCAAAATCTTTCAGAAAAAGCAGGGCTACTAGTGGTAGGATCTCCATTTAATAGTGTAGGTGATGAAAGTGAGATTCAAGGAGGGGAAGCACTGGGGCTCGGAGGGAGTGCTAGACCTCAATTTGAGGCCTTCTAAAAATTCACTTAACGTTGACTTTATACTTACTGGCTCAGGAGGCACTGATGTACCATGTGAAGAAAGGTGAACAAAACACAGTAGAGCTCCCCAGCAGTGAGGGAAACAAATGCATTACAGAAATATGAGCCAGGGATGGAGGAGAGGAATTTTCCCCATCGAGGTGTGCAATGGCATGCTACATGTTTTTGTTACATCATGACATTGCTGGGGTCCTTGGAGATATAAGTATCCTTTGTGGGTTTTTAACTGAGACCCACGACCCCCCCCCCACCGCCCCCAGGGAAGTTTCATGTAAAGAGTATGTGTTTGTACGCACATGTTTTTTTCTAGGGAAAGGAGTCATAGCTTTGATCAGATCCTCAAGGGTCTGACATGGCCCAAAATGTTAAGAACCCTCTTCTGAAGGAACTTAGATGTAATTTGTGAAAATTCTCAGTAACGAGTAGCCCATATTTTGAGTGTAAGCTTGTACACATACTGATAGATACTTAATACTACTGGTCTAGAAGGAGAAAGGCAGTACTACTAAAGACTGCCTCAGTGTCTCTCATACAGCCCTTTGCATCGTTCTTCTGTGTAGGCATTACCAGTGATTTGCTGGTTAACCCTAAGCTATTTCACTGCTCAGAGCTCCTATTTCTGGTCATATGGGGGTGACAGCTTCTAGTTCACAAATTCCTGGGGGGATTTGGATGGTTTTACTCTCTTGCACACACCAGATGTCACTGGCCCTCATAGTGCATGTGAGGCTTCCTACCTTTGCCTGGTGTCAAGCTTTCTGTTGATCATTCCACTAGACATTTTTTTTTAAGATTTTATTTATTTATTTGACAGAGAGAGAGAGAGAGGGAGGGAGAGAACAAGCACAAGCAGGGGGAGAGCCCGGCAGGGGAGAAGCAAGCTCCCCACTGAGCAAGGAGCCCGATCAGGGCTCGAACCCAGAACCCTGGGATCATGACCTGAGCCGAAGGCAGCAGCTTAACTGACTAAGCCGCCCAGGTGCCCCTCCAGTAGATATTCTTAGAGAAGTGTCTTTTTCTCTTTTCCTTCGCATTCCTCTGCTTTCTGTCCTGGACCAAGGTTGCATCTTTTACCAAGAATTATTCTTATTCCACGTCTGTGGCCTTTATGGAGCAGGCTTGTTAACTCTTGCTCTTTCCATCCATTCCAACATCTTGGGAAAACCTACCCGTCCTTTCCTCTCTGGTTCTGTGGATTGAATAGAGTGGCTATTTGTTGTTTCCCCTTATGCCTTGCATAATTAGCAATGATCTTTTGGCCTATTCTTCTCTCATGCTCGAAGTGAGAAGAGCGCAAACTTGTGCTTTCTCTGTCCCTATGAGGAAAGGCACATTCTGTTTCATTGCCCTCAGAAGCTAGGAAGTGGGAATTTCCAGCGTGCATTTTTTGTTTTAAATGAAAGCAGCTGTCTATAAACTTGGAAACGTGTGCCACTTCAGTCTTACTCTTAATGAAGAAGCAGTAAAATGATCACAGCACATCAGCCACTTCCAGGATGTGTCACATTGCTTCTCTCCCCACTCCTAGGCAGTAGCTCATGGCTGGGGTGTGGGTAAGGTCAAGGGCATGAGCTTGGGAGTCAGAAAGGCCCCATTGTGTACTCCATCCCTGCCATGTGACAGCTGTGGCCTTGGACATACCACGTAGCTTTTCTGAGCCTTGGCATCTGTAAGATGGGGAGTAGGGTCGTGCATACTATATTCATTTGCCAGGGCTGCGGTAGCAAAGCAACACAAAGTGGGTGGCCTAAACCCAGTTAAGCAACTGTGTTTTCTCACAATTCTGGAGGCTGGAGGTCTGAAATCAACGTGTCAGCAGGGTTGGTCCCTTCTGAGGACCCTGAGGGAGAATTTGTTTCATGACCCTGTCCTGGCTTGTGGGGGTTTGCTGGCATTTCCTGACTTGTAGACCCATCATCCCAGTCTCTGCCTTCATGTTCACATGGCATTCTTTCTGTGTGCATGGCTGTGTCCAGACCTCCCCACTGTATAAGGACACCAGTCTTACTGCCTGAGTGCCCACTCTAATGATTTTATTTCAGCTTGATTCCCTCTGTAAAGACCCAAGGTTACATTCTGAGGTGCTGGGGGTTAGCGACTGAACATATCTTTGGGGGAAAAGAGGGATACAACTCAATCTGTAACACATACCTACCACAGGGTTTACAGATGATTAGATGAGATAATCTACAAAAAGGGTTTAACTTAGTGCCTGGCACATAACAAGCCCTCAGTACATTGCTTGTTATTCTTAAGGGAATTTAGCATGCCCTAATTTCTCACCTACAAGTCTTGGAGGTTTTCAGTTTCTTTTGTCTCTCCTTTTCTCTCATTTTTCATCAACTAGAGGGCAAGTAAATGTAAAAGGAAAAGGCAAAGCATACACCAGTTGAAACATGGAAGGTTCTGCCATTTGACCATCAGAACACTTTATACTTGAATATTTCCTCAGCCTGAGCTTATATTAATAAAACAGATTTGTGTGTGTAAAAATACACAGAAACCTATTTCAGTCCACTCTGCATTAATTATTTGAGAAGCTTGTCTTAAATAGCACAATGATTTTGTTTGAGGGAAAACTTTGAAACCTAAATAATTATCAGATGGCCATTTAAAAAAAATCAAAACTAACCCTCTGTCTGAGAAAACATGTTATTGGAATCAAATAAGCTGGCGGCATAATCTGCAAATTCCGTGTGTACTGCTATGGTATCTGAAACATAATTATCAAGCTTAAGTTAATTAGACTAATGCTCAGAAAATCTGGCCTGGCAGCTTGTGGTAAGTAATTATATATACTGATTAAAAATGTAATACTCAGCAAGCAGAGGTGATGGAAACTCCATTTGACACAGCGTGTGCACATGTACAATTAAGAAGCCACGTAGAAGGATGCCCACAATGAGAAGGAACATTGTAGAAACCGATAGGCATCATGCCAAGTCTTCTTCAAGATGTTCCCCTCACCCATTGGGAAACGGGTGGCTGTCACCACAGGGCTGGCTCTGGAAGGGGATGTGGCCACGGGTACTCGCTGACCACCCAGAGCATACTCCAGACCACAGCCTCTTCTCTACTATGTTCTTTCCATTTCTCTCAAGCTTCTCCTTCAAAGGATGATTAGGTGTCAGACAACAGAGGTCCGCTTCCTTGGTGATTTTCCAGGCTCTGAGACAGGGAAATTGTCATTCATTATAGGTCACAGAGAAGGGTACGATGCTGCCCTCTGTGCAGGCATGAACATACCTTTCATTTGCCCTTCTGTTTGCTCTCTGGCTTTCTCTCATTATTTTTGAAAGAGGGAAGATGATGCCACTGGGGATCCATGAGCAAAGACTAAGGACCCCCAACATTTGGCTGTCTACTCAGGTTCACCCTAAGTTTACTGTATCACAAAATTTTTTTGATTAAGTAAATATGGTTAAATTTCAGATTGATGAGGGCTACCGAGAAATCTTTTTTGTTCTGTATCATTTTTACAGTGTGTCTCTCTTCCTGCATTAGTATTATAATATTTGGTTGGGAGAACATCATCAAACCCTTCTTTGAGGACTGAGGATGGCAATATCTGTGTCACCCTCCTGAGTATCTGTTATGGTTCGTTGATTTGAGCAAAAAGTATTTAGTGAACACCTATTGTGTGCCTAGCTCTGGTTTTGTAAGGTCTTCACTAAGGTGTTAGATTGAACCATATGACATTCTTTTGAAGGTTAAGGGAAGATTGAATATTGCTAATAGACATGGTTTTGCCCTCATAGGACCTATAATTTAGTGGGTAAGATATTTACAACACAGTACATGTCCTGAAACGGAACACATCAAGGGGCCACCTGGTCCAGCCTTGGGCGAGCAGGGGCAGGAAGGTCTTCCTTGCAGAGAATAGTATGTGCTGGTGGTAAAACAAGGCAGGTTGTTGAAAGAGCCACTCCTGCTTAAACAGGGGAGGCACAGAGGCTGCAGAGGGTTGAGAGAGGGAGTGACAAGGTAAATAAGGGCCTATCATTCCAAGAAAGCCATGTCAAAGGCCAATAACTCAGGACAGGACGAGAGCATTTGATAGCAAGGGTTCAGAGACTGCCCTGGGCCACTACCTAGAATTTAATTTATACTTTTTAAGTAAGAGAGGCCCTAATATCTGGTTCTCCCACTGTGTTGTTCTGCTTCAAAATCTAGATTCAGGCCACTCCTATTAGATTTCATCGAGGCTCCTTTTTCGTAGAGAAACATGCCAAGGCTTTCAGTCTAAGACTACAGAAAAGAAACCCACAGCTCAATCTCCCTGGGTTTTTGTTTCCTATTCTGTAAAATGGGGACAATATTATGCCTCTACCTACCCCAAAGTTGATCCAATGAGATTCTGCATGCAGAAGTGCTTTATTTTTTTTTTAAAGATTTTATTTATTTATTTGACAGAGAGAGACACAGCGAGAGCAGGAACACAAGCAGGGGGAGCGGGAGCGGGAGAGGGAGAAGCAGGCTTCCCGCTGAGCGGGGAGCCCGACATGGGGCTCGATCCCAGGACCCTGGGATCATGACCTGAGCCGAAGGCAGACACTTAAGGACTGAGCCACCCAGGCGCCCCATGCAGAAGTGCTTTAATTTAGACACCTGAACTGAGTCCCCATTGTTTAGCAGACGTGGATGCTGTTCTATGAGAGAGGGCATGCAGCTTTAGGGAGTGGGCCCTGGAGTCCCAGCCACCTGTGAGCTATAAGGTCACATCTCTGATCTTAACTTCTTAACCTGAAAATGGAGAAGACAGCGCCAGGGCTATTCAATAAGGGATAAACGCAATTGTTGGTACCTGGCACTTAGCACATGCTCAGTAAAAATCCATTAATAACAACAATGTGATTATGCCATCATTGTTCTTGGGCTCCCTTCCTTTGATGTTTTCTCTTCCCTAGAGCAGAAGGTCCCTGGTATTGGACCAAGAGCATCTTTCCTTTGTCCAGGGGTCCATTTTCCACAGAACAACATTTGTTCCTTGTGATTTAGTTGTCATTTGGCTGGAGGATTAAGTCCTGAATCTGACTCCCTTTATAAGTAGATGAGTCCTCTCTCTACCCAAGCCCCAAATAACTACTTGCAAAGTGAAAGAGCAGTCAATCAGCAGGGGTTTTGTTTTTTGTTTTTGTTTTGCTTCTGGAATGCCAGATATTTAGTATTTTTGAATTTTTAAATTTTGGCATCTGGTAGACACAAGTCTGAGTAACCATGTAGGAACACTCACAGATCTTGGACTGATAACTTGCTACTAGGCTTCAATCTAATGTCAACGAACTAGACCATTATTCCCAAAATCAAACATTAAAGAGGGAGAGGAGCAAAATAGCTTGGAAATTAATGGGTTTTTTCAACATCTTGTGTTTCCTACCCAAATAGCAATCAGTTTCCTGGTTGTTGCCCCAAATGTGGGAAACAGAGACAGCATCAGGCTGCAAAGCCCTTCCAGTACAGTGTTGGTCTGAGAATCAGCATGAAGAAAAGGACTAAAAGAGATAATGAAATGTAGAAAGCATGTGAAATATATATTACCACTGCAGACATGTTTATTAAGATCCAGGCGAGTATTACTTTTGCTTCAGAAATAGGACATCAGAGGAAATTTATGGAGGGGGAATATTTGGATGACTATCTCACAGACATAAAGCTCTTAAGGCAGAGCGGTTTTAATTAAGAACAGCATCCTGTGTGAAGTGTTATACCCAAAATAGATCCTAGGGGGGATTCAGTGAAGGGATACATCAATTTCAGACATCTGGAATTCAATTAATAACTTCAGTGCTCTTACATAGCAAATGCTACCATGTTGTAATTCTTACGGAGTTTCTCTGAATGGGAGCTGGATTTCCATAGGGAGGGAAATTGCGGTCATCCTATGCTGTAAACTGCATGTTGCCCAAGGATGAACATGTTTGTTTTCATTCATGGCCTGCTTTGATGTAGTTATACTGAATGACTAATTGGGTATCTGCAAGCCCATCACTCAGCACAAAAGCTATGATTTTGATATCCAACACCTAACCATATGATGAGCCCACACCCCCCTCCCCCCCCCCCCCCCCCCCCCCCCCGAGTTATCCATCACCCTGAATCTCGTCCCATTGCTTCACTTCTCTTTTTTTAATTTATTTGTCAGAGAGAGAGCACAAGCAGGGGGAACAACAGGCAGAGGGAGAAGCAGGTTCCCCGCTGAGCAGGGAGCCCCATGCAGGACTCGATCCCAGGACGCTGGGATCATGACCTGAGCTGAAAGCAAACGCTTAACCAACTGAGCCACCCAGGTGTCCTGCTTCACTTCTTTTTACATTCTTTTAGGCATCTCTATGCATTTTTTAAAAGGATAGATTTTTAAGTTGTTTTTTAACTTTATAAAAAAGTATCCTGCGTATATTATCTTCTAGAAATTATTTTTCCTTCATTATATGTTAAGATCTGTCCGTATGGGCTAATTGTCTCTTTCAAACCATTCTTTTGATCACTGTGTAATAATCCATTATGTGAATGTATCAGAGTTTATTCATCTACTTTCTGAAGAACATTGGTCACTTCCAGATTTTTGCTGTTTTAATTAGAGCTGCTTTGAACATCCTCATATATGTGAGAAAATTTTCTCTCGGGTATATACCTGGGTGTAGTATTGGTGGGGCACAGGGTGTTACGAACGTCAGCTTTAGGAGATCATGCCAAACCATTTCCCAAAGAGGGTGCTTCAATACATCCTCTTACCTGCACCGCCGGAGGGATCCCAAGGGTCCATATTCTCTCTAGGCCACAGAATTGCCAGATTTAAGTGTAGCTCAAATGCATCAACGTTTGAAACTGATATTTGTCTGTGAACTTGGTCTGGTGCTGCGTGATCCTCAGAGCTGAAGCTAAGATACATATGTAGAGGTTGGGGAAGGGAGAGTCAGACTTAGGCGAGGACAGATGGCTTCCTGGCATCGCCTGTCGGTCAGGGGTCCCATTGTCTCAGGGTGGGGTAAGATCTCAAGCAGGGCATGAGTACCCCTTGGATGTTTGGACTGGAGAACTGTAAATATTGGTTTCAGACCCTGATTCTAGGAACAAGCATTTTACAAATATTTGTTTCTGGGACTTTAAACAGATAACCTGAAATTTTAAGGAGCTACTTTAAAACATTTTGATCTTTTATCCTTTAAAAAGTAACCAAACTCCTTTAAACCCCTGAGCAGCACTGAGATGAGATTAATTAAAAGATTAGGACTCTTAAAAGATTTTTATGGGTTTTTCATTCATGATGTTATAACTCCCAACAATGACATTTTAAAATCAAGCCATATATATATACACACACTTAATTATACACACACACACATATACATATATATATATGAGTCAAACCTGGATTTTCATATATAATTTATATAAATAGTATATCAATAAATATAAATCTTAGGCTTGGCCCTTTCTATAGTGCCTCTTGAGCATCTCAGTAATAAATAAATGAGAGGTTAGATGCACAGTCGGAGGCTGCAAAGGTGAAGGTATCTCTTTTCTAGCCTGATGCTTCCAAATAATCCCAAGCCTGACATTGTATTTTAAGTGTTCACTGTGGTGAAGCTGTATGTGTGTATGTTTACAGTTGGATTACATCTGTTTTCTGTGCTGATTTCTGGATTATGGTCACTTTTGGGGTATATAAAATGAGAGGCTATAACAAGGAAATCTCAGTTTCTTTCAAGTATTCTGTTTTTTTTTTTTCTTTTAAAGGCGTTTGAAATCCTTTGTGACAAAGATCTGCTGTCACGCATGGTAAGCTTAGCATTTCAGCTTCATCCAAGGCTTTATGTCTTCATTAAAAGAGGTTTTTAAATGAAAGAGAGAAAGGCATTCGGGAAAGACTGGTTCCTAATTTATTTGTGCAACTCACCCGGCCAGGCTTTGAAGGGCATTGGCAGAGCTCCATCAGAAGTGAATGGGTTTGTGAATAACAGAGGACAGGTTACTTTCAATGGGTGTGTGGCAGCTTTGTTGGGTGTGGCTTCGTAACCAGAGGCAGAATGATTATCTTGTAAAAAGAAGAAATTCATGACCAATCCAGGGGAGTGGTACATACCCTTGGAATATAGCTTTTATGTTCCTCATTTTTCATCTGCCACTGTGGGGGTCCCGGTGCCAGGTACCTGGCCAGATGGTGTTGG